TTGGTTGTTAGATTTTAAGTGTTATGATATCAAAGTTGAAAGAAAATCTGTAGGGATTTTGTTTCAGGATTTTTCCAGGGACAGAAATCTGTTTATCTCTTTAGTTATGCAGCTTGTGTTTTTATATTTATGTTGGTCTTCATTTAGAATTGTTTATTTCTAGAGGTGGTCCCCCCCTTTAAACAACTTTATTTATTTTAGTCCATTTTATATTTGAAACAATGCTGTTTGGACTCCCCTCTTTTATGTCAGCCATTCAACTAGCCAAAGATAACTCTTCTTGTTTTTTTTTTATGTCATGTCTTCAGTCACTTCACCTTCACATTTGAGAAGACTTCTTTTTAGAAGGGATATTCAGAGTCAGATATAAAATTTCAGATGTCTTCTGGGCAGAAGAGGCTCAGTAGGATCATGGCTTTATTCCACAAAATGGTTGTTCAGTTATCAGTGTTGAACTAGTGAGCAATGGTATCCACATTCCTCTTTTTGTTAACTATGTGATGCTTTATTGACTTTGATATTAAATACATACAACAACTGGCTTTTAAATTATAGATTGTTGAAGCTTGAAATTAGGAATTAGTCAAAGCTTTCTATTCCTATTAAAAAATTTGAGACAAGGTCTTAGTATGTAGCCCATGCTGGCCTAGCAGTCACCATGCAGACTTGCCTGCCCTCGAACTTAGAGATGTCTATCTGATTCTGATTCCTAGGTGCTGAGATTAAAGGTACGTGTTTCCATGCAGGACTCAAATTTATTTTAATTTAGTTTTTGCCAAGTTCCTTCTGAATTTGAGTTAATAATTTTTAACCCATGTGTTGTGTATATACTTTACAACGCTATCAATTAAATCACTGGAGTGGAAGCTGGAGCAGTTAAGGGAATGGGCTTTTTGTATCTTGAAATTTAACTTGCAATCTGGTTTTGCCAACAAAGTTTGTGATGTTTAGCAGCCGGCTTCACTTCTCTTGCTGTTATTATGGAAAGTAGGATAGATGGTTACACCTAATAGACATATAAGAGTCAGAAGAGGAACAGCAAGATGTCTCAGCAGATATTGGCATGTGATCTGCCAGCTCGGTGACATGAGTCACCAGAATCCATGTAAAGGTGAAGGGTACACACCCTTCAGGGATGAACATGTGGGCCACTCTTCCTGGGAGAGACCCAAGACCTGCTGAAGTGCTTGGTATTGGTGGAGGAAATACAGAACTGATAGTAGAGGAAAGTAGTTACAAATACCAGCCAAGGCCATGAGACCAGCTGCAGAGACAAAGATTATAAAATTTACCATGGGTGTTTCTGTCATACATTGTTAAGAATGTGTTTGTTGAGTTATTTGTGTCTTCTTTCCTCCATTCGTTTATCATGTAATGTAACATTAGTTAAGAAAATACCAGTAGTTATCATATTTAAGCTTGAGGTACTTAAAGAATGTCCCTCAGGGGACATTGGCACACATTTTAAATTTATAATGCATTTATGATTGTACAAGTGACAGTGATATCATGGTAGGTGAAATTATGACCTGGGTTAAATATATGATGCATTTGTGACTGTACTTGGGATAGTAACATCATGTTAGGCACCTTATGACCTGGTTATTGTTTTTCTTTGGAAATTAAGCATGAGTTAAGGAGATATTATTGTGTGTCAAGTTGACAAGGGGTAGATTTATGATGGCAATTATTGATTGTCAACTTGACTACACCCAAGCAGCTGAGTACACCTGTGAGGGATTTTTTTTTCTTAATAAAATTATTTGAAGTGGGAAGACTCACTTAAAAAAAACCTTTTATGGATTGTCTGTTAATTTCACATCATGCAGCCCGATTTCATTCATCTCTCTGCCCCTTCATATTTACCCTCTTGGCCTTGCAACAAAAGACACAAAAGAAAAGAACAAAAATAAACAAAACAACAACAGCAAAAATCTCACTGTGGAAATTTGGCTGTGTCACGTTGTATTGAAAAGCCCTTTTGCTCAAACAGCTTTACTCACAAATGTTAATTTCAATGAGTCATTGGATTGGTTTGAGGCCTCTGGATTCTGCTACTCTGTCAATACTGGATCATCACAAGGACTCCTTTCAGATATCCTGTTATTGCCCTGTGTCATGAGGTCCTGCAGATCCAAATGTGTAGGACTGGCGTCTTCACAGGTTCCAGAAGTTCATAGATGGAATGGATGTTGGGGTACACCAACTCAGAGCCCTGGATCTGGGCCTAGGTGGAAGCTGAGCTGGTCAGCCCATCAGCTCTTCTGTTCCTGCACTACCAGTGTGAGCTCTCTCACTTTGCCCAGGCAAGGGCTGACTCTCTCACTCTCTTGCCCTTGAGTTCAGCTCTCCCTAGAGCCCACACCATCAGGGCCAGCTCTCCTGAGTACTGCAGCTGTTAAGGAGCAGAGCCAGATCTCCTGTTCTCCCTGTCTTGGAGCCAGCTCAACCGCCAGCCACAGGTTGGGGAATACTCACTTTTAATCCAGATCTTCCGTGGTGGGAAGATACACCTTCTTGTGGCAGCCTAGATACAGGACACAGAAGAAGGAAGCTTGCCTTCTTTGCCTGCTGTGCTCACTGGCAAGTCCATTCCTTCACTGGCTTTAGAGCCTACTTATTGGAGATTCTGGTGTATAGTGAAGACTAGCTGAAACATCTAGCCTCATGGACTGAGCATCTTTTGAATTCTTTGACCTTGGTGACAGCATCATTGGACTAGCTAGACCACAGCCTGCAAGGCATTATAATAAATCCCATAGGTGGTGGTTTGACTAGGGATGGCTCCCATATGTGTTTGAATGCTTGGCCATAGGAAGTTGGCACTATTAGGAGGGTGTGGCCTTGTTAGAGGAAGTGTGTCACTATGGAGGCGGGACTTTGAGGTCTTAAATGCTCAAGCTATACCCAAGTGTGAAACAAGTCCAGTCTCCTCCTTGCTGCCTGCAGATCAAAATGTAGCGCTCTCAGCAACTTCTCCAGCACCACGTCTTCCTGCACACCCCCATGCTTCTTGCCATAACGTATGGTATAGACTTACCTCTGAAACTGTAAGTCGGCCCCAATTAAATATTTGCCCTTGTAAGAGCTGTCGTGGTCATGGTGTCTCTTCACAGCAATAAAAGCTTAGTTAAGACACCATATATATATATCCATATATATATATATGGATATATATATATATGGATTCATTCATATACATATGGATCCATTCACATATATGAATATGTGAATATTCATATACATATATATATGAATATATACACACATATATGAATATATATATACATATATGTATATGTATTCATTCTATAATTTCTGTTCCTCTAAATAAACCTGACTAATGCATACATGTTTATAATTCTAGCACAATGCTAACACTGTCTATATTTAAACACATATTTTTAAAGAACAAAAAAATCAAATATATCTATCAATCTGTTCATTTTTATTTGCTGAATCATCTACATATCCAGTCATTCATCTGCCTGTCCATACATTTATAATAAGATTTAACAATTTAGAGCACTCAACTTTTCACTTCAAAAGAGTTTTTAATGGTTTGCAGTGTTTGAATGCCTGAAAGAGCAAGTGGCTTTCACAGAGTAATAGGCATGGTGAGATATTATTTAGGAAAAATATTTGTAATAGAATTTATAGAGAGATAGTCACAAAACAAAGCCCTTATATTTTAAAATGTCCTTTACTTTTCTCCCAAACCAATACAGAATGAATGATAATTTTTGTGACATAAAATTCAAATATGATTTTGTCTGGAAATATACTTTTTTTTTCCAAATTCCAAGAGAAAAAAATTCACAGTTATATTAGTTTCTTTTTTGTTGCTGTGAAACAATACTCTGACAAAGCGACTTAGAGAAGAAACAGGTTGTGTCAGCTCACGGTTAGTCCATCACCATGGGAAAGCCAAGGTGGGAGGGACTTAGCGTGGTCTGTCACATTGAATGCACAGTAAAGAGAAAAGAATGTGTGTGTTAGTGCACAGTTGGCCTAGTCCTTTTTGAGCGCTGTTGCCACAGTGCTAGTTTTTTTCTTCTTACATCAGTTAATGTAATTAAGAGAATTCCTCAAAAACATGCTCAGAGGCCCTTTTAGGATATTCTAGAAAGTCAAGTTGACAATCAAAACTAAGCATCACAGCTCTAACCCTTGTCAACTTGACAAACAAATCGCTTTTGAGACCACCTATGCCCTTTGTTCCCAAAGGATCAAGTTTATCTCATGATGTAAAATGCAGTTCAACTTTAATGTCCCCATTGACTTAAACAATTCTAATACTTTATAAGTCCAACATCTTAACTGTGAGCTCCTCTAAAATAAAAAAAACAAGCTATGTACTTCCAATATATAATGGCATTATATAAACATACTGTCTTTGTTTTCTATTGCTGTGCTAAGCACCATGACTGTGGTGCTGGCTAGTTTTTTTGTCAACTTAATACAAGCTAGAGTCATTCGAAAGGAGGAACCTTAATTGAGAAAATGTCTCCACAAGATCCTATTGTAGGGCATTTTCTTAATTAGTGATTTGATGGGGGAGGTCCCAGCCTATTTTGGATGGTGCCATCCCTCGGCTGGTGGTTCTGGGTTCTATAAGAAAGCAAGCCATGATGAGCAAGGTAGTAAGCAGCATTTCTTCATGGCCTCCGCATCAGCCCCTCCCTCCAGATTCTAACCCTGCTTGAGTTTCTGTCCTGATTTCTTTCAGTTGGTGCAGAAACCATGGAGAAATGCTGTTTACTGGCTTGATTTTCATGGCTTGCTCATTCAGCTTTTTTTCCTTACTTACTTTTTATTCATGATCATAAACTTAATTCTGTAATCCAGGTAGACTTGGAGGGGAATGAGGAGAATATGGAACCCAAAGAACTTCAGTCAGAGCAGAGATTACAGGCTACTGTGAGCAGCTGGGGTGGGAACGCTCTCCTGAGCTACAGAAGGAATGATCCAGTGGTTAAGATGCCTGAAAGTCAAAAGAATTAGAGTTGTCCACAGTCGACTATGGTGATCCTCTTGCTGGTTTTGCCATTCTTGGACCCAAAATGCCTCATGGCTGTCAAGATGTTCATGTCTTTTTTCACCTTCCCAAAGACCACATGCTTGCCCTCCAGCCACTCAGGCTTGGCAGTGCAGATTAAAACAAACTGGGAATTGTTTGTGTCTGGTCCAGCCTTTGCCATGGACAAGATGCCAGGACCTGTATGCTTCAGGATGAAGTTCTCGTTCTCACATTTCTCCTTGTAGAGGGACCTGCCACCAGTACCATTATGGCATGTGAAATCACCACCTTGGCATATGAATCCTGGAATAATTCTGTGAAAGAAAAAGAGGAATCTTTCATCCAAATCCTCTCTCTCCAGTGCTCAGAGCTGTCTTTGGAACTTCGTCTGCAAACAGCTTGAAGGAGAAGTGGCCCAAGGGCTCACCAAAGGCAGAGGGTTGACTGACCCTGGTTGGTGGAGTTGACCATGGCTGCAGCAAGCGGCAGCAGGGAACAGCAGCGTCTGCCTCATTCTGCTTTTCATACAAGCCAGGACCACCCACCCAGGGGTGCTCAGGTAGAATTTATGCTGCACAGAAAAGCGTTCCCAGATTTGAAATAGTATTAGGAATTTTCAACATGACAGTGGATAGGAAACCCTGGAAGGCTGCTCAGTTCTGTTCTATTTTGACCAAGGTTCAGTCCCTTGATTTTACAACATCAGAGAACTGACAAGGAGGAAGTGGGCAAATGATGTGCAGTCCAAAATTCAGGCCTTAGCAGAAATAGCAAATCCTATACTTGAATACAGCACCCAATTTGGAGGTTTCAGAAAGGGAGAAAAGAGACAGATGTCAGAATGGAACATTTAGAGTTCCAGCACGGCAGAACTAAATGTCTTCAGAGTAAAGGGGATCCAGCTGTGAAGACAGAGCTTGTACAGCATGGAATTTAAATTTTTGGGAGAAAAAAAACTCCCCACACCCAAAGGATATGTCATCTCTTTATGCACATCAAAACACCCTTCCCCAGGTTATATAGACGAACACAGTAGCCATAGTAAACATAGTCACGCTATCTTAATATACCTTCTCTTAAGAGAAACCCGTTTTTATTAAACTAACTCTTCAAGCTGGGATTGATAAAGGATTTGGCTATCTTTTCCTGTATTTGTTTTTGTGAGTTTATTTTAGTTTTTTAAGTAAATAGATAAGGTCTTGTGAATCCCAGGCTGGCCTTGATTCTCCTGGGCTCTGAGTGCTGAAATTTGACTGATGGGATTACAAGTGTGTGGCACCACACCCAGTTTATACTTTGTTGCAGATCAAACCCAGGGCTTGATGTATGCTAGATTAGTACTCTCCCAGTTTAGCTACATCCGAAGGCCCAACACCTGTTTTACGTAAAGAACATTAGACAGATGTTCTGGTTGCAATCATCATAAAAGAATATTAGTATAAAGACGTAGTTTAACTTTTACTGTTGGGCGCGTGTGCGCGCGCGCACACACACACGCGCGCACACACACACACACACACACACACACACAACAACAACAGAACATAAGATATTATTACAGTCTTAATGCCATCACCACCTTTTGTTTCCACGCCTTTAATTTTTATACACATATTTCACATGCAACACAAGTGGCAAGGTGGATAGGGAACTTCCTCATGGTTTCTTGTTTGAACTGGATAGTGTGTTGTGTCTGATAATCTTCCCCTTTGGTTTAACCTCACAGGAGCAATCTTACTTGATTCTGATGTGGCAGACCTTGCACAGATACTGTTGTAGCTAATTTTGCACTGCTTTATGTTATGTTCTGAAACCTCAGCTTGTCTACATTCAGCCCAAACTCTGGAAGATACCACCTTCTGGGTCGTTATGTCCCAGAAGGACCTATCTGTCTGAGCACAAACTGGCTTCCAAAAATCATTATGGAAAGTACGGCTTCCACGCAGTGTTCTTATTGCTTAAATATGAGTTTTATATTGATACGTCAGGTGACATCTTCATAAAATAAAGATCTCTTCATGAAGTCATCCCTAGCTAACAAAATGAGTAGACCCTTATCTAAGCTTTTGAAGCTATATGATGTTGTAGCAGGAGGTCAAAGAGAATACGTAATTTTAAGTGTTCTTGGCACTACTGAATGGAAGCCCATCATTACTGTCGCTTAATAATGATCCTAAGGGGCTATGTAGCCCATTTAAAGGGAACCCAAAAGCTCAAAATTCATGTGAAATGTTTCTTTTTAAATGCTAGTAACTTTGTGTCATAACCAGTGACATAAACAATCTAGTCACTATTGATTTGTATCTGGTCTGGTTGTTATCTCTTGGGGCTAGTTTTAGCATTTTGGCATTTCCAATAATGATACTAATGATTTTTGGCTAAATAAAAAAGTGAAGAAACCAGAATCAGGAAATGTAGAAAAACTTAAAATCAGAATGTCGTAATATTAAACAGATGGGCATTTTGAAAGAGGAAAAGAATTTTTGAGATATGCTTAAAGTTGCATCATTCACTGAAGATCTGGCTCTGCTATGCAGGTTACCCAAAAGGAACAGATAGTGAATCCCAGCAGCAGTGACCTGCCATTTGCACCTATCATGGAAGATGAGTGCATGAAGATCATGAACTTTAAATTGGGAATTCTGTGCCCTTTAATGGAATGCTAATGATCAAAGAGACTGGCCCGAATTATGTGAAGAAAATAATTTGGTCAAAGATCAGAGATTATCAAAGGGCAAACAATATCAAATATGTACCAAAAAACCCCATTAAATAATGTTTGTCCTAGTTAGTTATCATTGCTGTGATGAAACACCATGACCAAAGCAAGTTGGTGGGGTGGGGTGGGAAAGAGCTTATTTGGCTTATATAGTCACATCACTGTTCATCATTGAAGGAAGTCAGGACAGGAATCTGGAGCAGGAGCTTATGCAGAGGACACGGGCAGTTCATTTACTGGTTTGCTCATCCTGGCTTGCTCAGCCTCCTTTCTTATAGAACCCAGGACCACCAGCCCAGGGGTGACCCCACACACAATGAGCTGAACCTCCCCCCTACAATCACCAATTAAGAAAATGCACTACAGGCGTTCCTGCAGCCGAATCTCCTGGAGGCATTATCATTGTTTTCACCTGTGGCTTCCTCCGCTCCAGTGACTCTGGTTTGAGTCAAGCTGAAACAGAACCAGCCAGCAAAATGTCTTTACTTTTAACTTAAACATAAAAAAAAAAAATTGAGAAATTGTCTCTAATAATAGAGCCATTGTCTTTGATTTTGCAGAATCTTGATACTGCTTATATATAGGTGAGTCCATGTTCTTCAACTCTTTCAGTCTGTGACACACCTTTATCTGATATTTACATTGCTCCAAATTCGTCGATCATTTTAGTGTTGCAAGAATGAAAATAGGAACATTTAAATTATTCAGGTTTGGCTAATGACAATTTAAAATATAACACTTGGCCATTTTTGAGGCACCGTCTAGGTGGTTGGCAATGTCAAGATGAAGTTGACTATCTCCTTTCCAGTTACTGGCTGTCAGAATCTCATGGGCGTAGATGATGAATGCAAAGTCTATGCCTTCCATGAGAAGCGCGTGGCCACAGAAGTAGCTGCAGATGCTCTGGGTGACGAGTAAAGGGTGATGAGATCTGAATCAGTGGAGGGAACCACAAACAGGGTTTTCTCGTGAAGTGAGGTGTCTTGACCCATGGCAGAGTGCTTATGCTGTCGAGTAAGGGGTGTTCTTGTTATAGACCAAGGAGAACTGGAAAGAGGAAGAGCACATCTGTTTGGGAAGGTATCTCACTGTTCTCAGCTTCGTTATTGTAATAAAAGGAAGGGAGGATATTCCTGTTCTGACAGATACCTTGATGATTAGAGCCCTAGAGCTAGCAGAATATGAGGGTTTTTCAGTCTTTCCAAAGGTGGTGATGTCTCAGAAAAATCCCGTTAAGCAAAGAAAGTAAGAAGCCCCAGAACAACGTGCCCAGGATTCAGTGGCTGGTCTACGTGTCCTGCAGCACGAATGCCAACACTTTGCCCTGAAAACAAAACAAAACACACACACACACACACACACACACACACACACACACACACACACA